TGTCCTGAGGAACCTTGCGTTCTCTCCAGGAGAAGATCAGGAGACTATAGAGCGGGTTTATGTAAAGCTGGTTTACCGCATTTCTATGGTCTGTTCACCGGTCTTCACCCGGTGATTTTCCAAAAGCTAAAGCATCAGTAGCTTTGCTAACCACTTCCTTTGTAGATTCAGTCTAGCTCCTCCAGGCTTGGCAGACCCTGAATAACATCAAGCGCTTCTTTAGTGTCGGATTTTTATTTATTTATTTATTTATTTTGTGGCGGTGGGAGGGGACAAATTCTATCGTCAATTTGTTTATCTCCGTATCTTTGATTTCTGTTGTGGTAGGATCCACCTAATTTGCATAGTGGAGTACCGACCATATAAATATGGTTGGTACCGGGAAGAGAGGGAGGAATCAAGAGATTCAACCAGAGACTCTGCCCGACTGCGACTCAGTCAACACATTCTCCAGGAACGGTCTTACCAGGAATATACAAAAGACTATATGTAAATATTGTGTACACTTTCTTGTTTCAATACATTTTGTTCTAAGTACATTTTGTGTTGCATTATTATTCCGTGCATTAGTCAAGTTTCAACAATTTCAGAGACACAGACTTGTCAGTTACTTGTTTAATGCCCTCTCACATGTTCCAGATTGTCTGAAGACATTTGAATGCTTTATCGGAGCCAGTAATCATTTACGAAGCGACGTGCTGTTTGCTGGGTCTTCCTTCGAGCAGTTTTCAGAGCCTGTAGATTTTGCTTGCTAGGGTCACGCTTAAATATAATCCGTGCGCTGCGCGTAGCATTGATGACCGGCTATAATGTGGAGATATTAGCCTCTAAAAAGTCTTTATGCTTGTTTACTTTCTTTCCATAGATCGATACTGCAGCATTGTAGATGGTATTCCTAAATGAGTTTCATCTGTCTTCAATGCACTGAGTTAAATCTCTGGGAAGGGCCTTCTGGCTTTCATATGAATAGGCGGTCTTGCTAGAGTTAATTCTCAGATAGCATTTCTTCGTTGAATACATTCTTAGGTTGTAACTTTACCTTTGAGGAGATTAGGCAGTGGTTTGTGTCGCAGTCGGTGATGTGGTAAACTCTGCAGACGTTGCTTATGGAGACACGTCCGGTGATGGCCAGGTCCATCTGGTGTCAATGATTTGAGCTTGGATGTCTCCAGTATGCTTTGTTGCAAGCCTTGTTCTGTAAATATGTGTTTGTCACACAATTTACGATAGCAGCAGAGCTCTATGTATATTTTGCCATTCTCATTCATCTACTATGGTGACCTAACATACTTGGCCAGTGTTCTTGATCAGCGCCAACCCTCGCATTGAAATATGTTATCTTTACCCCTTGCTTTTCTACAAGCTAGAGCGTCAATAGCTTTCCTAAGCTCTTCCTTTGTATGTTCCGAGATTAGCACTTCCGGTACTGGCACACCCTCGATAGCATAAAGTCCTTATTTAGTGTCGGAATTAACACCCGCTCCCGCATTGAGGTCTTCTAGAATGAAAATATGTTCATATGCTGGGATAAATTTGATTACACTGTCAAGTTGTGTGTAGAACTAATCTTTGACTTCGGTCGCAGCTTTGAGTGCTGGTGCATAGATGCACACAAGTTTTACAAGTTCTTCATATGTAGCGTGAAAATTCTCTCTGCACCACCTGCTAGATGTTCAATGATACGAAACAAAGTATTCCTGACAGTGAATGCAACTCTTGCGTGTGTTCTCTTGCATTCATCGACTCCTCTCACCTGTCAGGAGACGGCGATGATTGTTCTTCTTTCACTGTTCGTAATCGTGTTTCCTGTAGAGTTGACATGTCAATTCTCAATCGGTTTAGCAGACAATCGATCATTACAATCTTGCGAGACTCATCAATTTCCTGAAGGCCATCAGATAGACCTGTGTGCATGGTTCGCACATTCCAGCTTGCAATACGAAGTGCTGGATTCTTCGTTCTTTTTTTTCCATTTTGCTGTTAGTTTGGTGCATGTTTATCGATTTGCCTATTTTGGCACCCACTGAAGCAGGTAGACCATGGCGGATAAATACACTACTGCCCGGGAGCTGTCCGACTTGAGGCCGGCGATAGTTGACAAATGGAATACAGTGATCCATCTCAACGTAGAAAACAACTCGTGGCCAGTTAAGCATGGTCATAACCAATAAAATGCTGTCTACAGAGTTGTGCTCTCGCTGGATGGTGAGTCTGATGTAACCTATCCATGGCGTAGGAAGACGTAACGCTACCTAGACCACATGGCACCATCTCGGTCGTACCATCAATATGCAAGAGAATACATTTGAGGCCGGTTTGGCTGGAGGAATTGACGGAAGCTTATCAGTGTTGACAGCCAACCACTTTCGGCAATACACTGCGGATTTTCTATCTGGATTTACTTCTATAAATTTTACTGTGTTTGGATTTGACTACAAGAGAGAGGGGTTTAAAATTACCTTCCATTAGATTGACTGCCTTCCGAGCTGTCGAGATCCATCTACCTGAAGCCGTTGATTACGAGACGCCAGAGGTTCACATTTGCCCCTTCTTCAGATTGGAGATGGACTATTTAAGATGCATGTCGTAGAAGCATATTATAGACAGTGAAGCTATGACACGCTTTGGAACATATAATGATGGATTTAATCTCAAAATACCCGGAGATTAAGAAGTCATTATTTATACTAAGAATAACAGTATATTACATTTTTGACAGTACTACAACTAAACTATTAATTGACAAAAATAAATGAGAATAAAAAATGTTAAAGAACTTTACATAAGTAAAAACAGTGAGTAAACGGCAAAAGTTATACAAACATGAAAAATAGTAGAGAGAAAAAACACGGAAACTGGAAAATGTTGAAAGAAATAATAATTACTATATATATGAAAACAAATAAATATAATAATGAAAATTATACATAATATATATTATAAAGGAAATAAAAGAAATCATAATTATGAATTAGATTAGATTATTAGTTTTAAGAAATGTATTTTTTTTTTTTTTGTTTTTGCATTTCCGAACTCAGGATGATATTATGCGTTTTCCAAAGCTATGTAAGCCTGGCATATGAAATTGCAATTTGATTTTCCTCGGTTTTACTTTTTTATTCTTCGTTTATCCCTCATGATATATATATATATATATATATATATATATATATATATATATATATATATATATATATATATATATATAACTTTTTCTATTTCTTTTTGAATTTGTAGGTCTGATGATTTGGATCGTGATTACGATTCCAATGTAATAAATTATAACCATGGAATATTAGTTTCTGAGCCTTTTATATTATATATATATATATATATATATAGATAGATAGATAGATAGATAGATAGATATTGATAATATTTGTCTATATATATATTAGTGGTATATATATATATATATATATATATATATATATATATGTACATCAATTCCCAAGAGGATATAATCCAGATAGAACTCAATGTCCAGGACAGAGTAAGAATATAATATAAAAGGCTCAAACATTACTATTCCATGGTTATGATTTGTAATCCCGATCCAAATCATCAGACCTACAAATTCAAAAAGAAATCGGAAAATCCCGATTTCTTTTTTAATTTTTGAATGAGGTATTTATGGAATACGCATTTCTCGTTGGGGCTTCAACGAATCCAAATCTGCTAACTTCAGGTTCATACTTGAAGCTGTTCCTTAAATGGTCTATAAACGCGATCTCTTTGGTTGGCTGAGTAAAGACTCATTTCGGCTATAGAAGAGATTTCCTTGATGAGAAAGGTGATACAGTTTCGATTCATGTACGAGGCACAATCTTTCTTTGGTAGGAACTTAGTTTCGGTCGGCGGTTATTACTTTTACTGTTTAAGAGTAAAGATGAATAGCAACTCAAATACGTGTAACCAGTAATGCTAATAATAATGGTGTTATTAGCCGTTTCTTTATAAGAAAACTTTTGGCATTCATTGACCAAACAGCCAGTACTGCTTTCAGTTGAAATTTATAAGATATTTCTCTTAAAACAATTCTTTAAGAAAATAGGTTGTTCAAGTCCAGTAACTGTTATTACTCTTTCCTGTATTGGACGCTATTTTCTGTAGCAGTGACTTACCTCGGTGACCTAAAAGGCCCAGAGTCGCGTGTATGTTTTGCAAGGTAGTGTGAAGACGGTTTCGGAGGCACGGACGGGCGGTGAATCGGAGAGCACTTCGTGCTGATAGAGGTGGTGGTGTCGCTTGTAGCCATTTTTATTGGCCTGGTTCTGGGCGGTCACTGGGTCAGGTGTATAAAAACATGGTACGCTCATTTAACAGGTTTTGTTTTGTTTTTGTTTATTTTTTTCGTTTCGGGCGGTGATTGGCGTATTGGAGATCGAGATGAGAAATGTGGATTTGTTTTGCCTAGTGAACCTATTGAACTCATACTACCTTTCATTTCCTGTGTGTGATTCCAACCAATTTTTGCAACTTTTTATTTAAAGCAGTGTTAAATGTCAACATCGTGATTATGCCATTATTTAGTCCTCGAGTTACACATGTTATCCATTTTAGTTGTTGCTTCTATTGGTAGTTCTCAACTGATGTGGCTTATGTTATTTGGTATAGCTATTTATTTGTGAATCTCCAATGCCAGTCTACAATGTTCAAAGAAGGATTATCTTTGCTAAGACTCTCAGGCTTCACTCGCTCAAAGCCATTTTAACTATTGATCTGAAGAAACGGTTGTATGCAACTGACAGTTTAGATATTTCTGAACGGGTTTAGCACTATGTATGACATCCATATGAAAGTTTCGATCTGACAAGGTTATTTAGGAACGTGACTCGAGTTTTCAGGTTGATGTTTTGGTTTTGCAGAACTTAATGTTGTCGGGCGAAAGAACCTCTGGCGCAGCCTATTCTATGTTCAGTTTCTTTTTCTTCTATAATAAATGTTATAACTGATCCATACGCCGAAGTAATTTAAGTGTTTAGTATTTACTAAGTAACGACTATAGTAATAAGAGATAGATAGATAGATAGATAGATAGATAGATAGATAGATAGATAGATAGATGTACACGCACACAATGATATAGTTGGTAATCCGTATGGATAATTACAAAGAGGGTATAAACCCACAGAGATGGAGGAAGGGAATAGATGGAGGCGGAGAAGAAGAGGGCAATGCATTTAAGGCTGAGAAGGGAAAGCTAAGAGAGGGAGGAATATGTCTGTTTAAGGAGATATGGGCGAAGTCGTAGGGATGAGAGCAGTTATGTTGACCTATTTATACCGGATGTGCACAGTAAAGTAGAGAGTGTGTTATCAAATGCGGGTAGAGGAAAATAAAAAGCGAAAGAAAAAGAAGGAAGGAAAAAGGGAAAGAAAGGGATACTAGTGATATGACTTGAATCCAGCAATCGTCTTTATATAAAATTGAATAAATTATCTCTCTTATGCATGTAACCATTTACCCCCTTACACCTTTGTATTTTTTTAAAATAATACAATAATATTTGAGAAAAATGATATAATGATTATTTCAAAAACATTATTTTTCTTTATAGGTTTATAGGGCGGGGAGGAACCCGAAGGAGGCAACGCCGAAGGGCGGATTCTCTTTCGGGGAGGTAAACCGACCCAGAACCCGTTTATAATGATTCAATGTGCATATTTTTGGCCGAGCCCGCGGGCTCGGAGATCCCACGTTAAAAAGGCCTTGTGCCACATGACGCCCTCGTGGGAGGGTGACTGAATATCGTTCAGTTCAAAGTCAGGCGACCGGCTGATCGGCTGATCGGTTGAAAAATCTGCCTTCGGGCGGGGAGGAACCCGAACGAGGCTACGCCGAAGGGCGGTGTCTCTTTCGGGGAGGTAAACCGACCCTGAACCCGTTTATACGGGTTCAAAGGGAATATTTTTAGCCGAGTCCACGGTCTCGGAGATCCCATGTTAAACCGGCTTTGTGCCACATGATGCCCTCGTGGTGAGGGAGGGTGACTAAATACTGTTCCGTCTGAAGTCTACAGTTCAGTCTCAAGTCTGGAGTGAGGTCCGTCAGAAGTCCGTCAGATGTCTGTCAGTCAGTCACAGCGAGCGAGTCAGTTAGTCGAGTCAGAGGCTGACAGAAAGAGAGTCGCGTTCAGACAATTACTACTAAACCTGATTGTTCGTACTAACACTTTTCTACTTCTGTATATATTCCTGTTTGTAATATATCTGTATTATTCCATATCCGTATTCGAGTTCTTCTTTATTGGTTCTACCTTGGACTATTACCGTGGTACAAGGAATCGGACCATAACAATACCAATAATAATAATAATAATAATATTAAGGGTAAAATAAACAAATTTATCTAAGTTACGAAGAAATATATGCAATTATATACCTACCTAAACCAATTCATCAACATAGATCTATAGACATTGAAACACACATATATAAATACTGTACATATATTAATCAGAAAAACTTATATATATATATCTACAATTACTAAGCGTAAATAGTACGATAATAACACCAATAACAAAAACAGAATATATCTAATTGCACAAGCAACATATATAAAGAATTAACGGATTTAAAAAATAAACTGGGCGTCGACTCAAATATGTGTATCAACCAAAAATAATTTTTAAATGTTGGATTAGTAAATTAACATTTTTATTACTTCATTAGAAATAGTTTAGAAATTGCTTTGTTTGCACTTCGCATACGCACATCATGAACGTTCGAGAATCTAAACAAATAAAGAAATAGGATGTTGTTATGATGTTTTTCGTGGCCGGGCCGGTTCAAAGCACGTTGAATCTAATGATTGTTTCCCATGCGGTATAACACGCTGGTTTGAATCCTAAAGTGGATGCATTTATTTTTAATAAAATTTCTCGATTATTCGGGCCAGTAGATATACAGTAAATATATTGTTTGAAAATACACATTCTGTTATATATATATATATATATATATATATATATATATATATATATATATATATATATATATATGTATATGTGTGTGTGTGTGTGTAACAGTTTTTCATTATATATATATATATATATATATATATATATATATATATATTTAGTTGAATGGATATGAGTTCGTTTCAACAAAATATGTTAGCTCTATCACTGATATTGAGCCCTTTCCAATAAGCGCCACATACATATATATATATATATATATATATATATATATATATATATATATATATATATATATATATATATATATATATATCAGTATTTATTAAAATAAAATAGTTTCCAAAATATAATTTCCTGAAGACTCGCTTGCAATACAATTCTTACTGAACAAGGAAATCGTCTATAAAAAAAACATTTATGAAAAGATTTGATCTGTGCTCCAATACAGTAATATATAAATAATATATTTGTACTTACAATCAGAAAGAATATCTCACTAATATGTACTCTGTTAATAACGGTTCTTTTATAGTAATCTTGCTATTATTTAAGACTTTTCAGTTGTCGAATTCTATGCAACTCTCAGTGCAAGAAACCTTTCAATACATCTCATCAATCCATAGTTCTTCTTTCATTTTTCATTTACGAATACTTTCAATTCATAACAACGATTGAATATCCTGGATTTTATCATTCTGTTTTGTGATATACTTGTTTTCATCTCCGATGTTCGGCGAATGAACTCGATGTTACCTTTATCTCCTTTGAACAATTCATTAATAGTGGATCCATTTTAAGACAGAAATAATAACTTTCACTTCAGTCAGATTTATTTTTGGTCGTTTCCAAAGTGATTCCGTGAACTCGTAATGTTCTTATGAAAATTGTTAAGAAATAAATCTAGATTTAAATTGTTAAGAAAGAAATAGTTTTAACTTAAAAAGAAATAAATATCGATTTAAACTTTTAAAAAATAAATATTTACAATTTAAAAAAGAAATAAATAGATTTAAATTCAGAAATAAATATAGTTTTAAATTATTAAGAAATAAATAGATTTAAATTGATAAGAATAAACAAATTTAACTTAAGAAGAAATAACTATCTATTTAAACTGTTAAGAAATAAATAGATTTACATTGTTAAGCAAAAATAAAAAATTTAAATTAAGAAATAAATACAGATTCAAATTATTAAGAAATAGATTTAAATTGATAAGAAGGAATAAACAAATTTAACTTAAAAAGAAATAAATATCGATTTAAACTGTTAAAAAATAAAGAGATTTGCATTGTTAAAGAGAAAGAAATAGATTTAAATTAAAAAATAAATATCAATACAAATTATTAAAAAATAAATAGATTTAAATTGTTAAAAAGAAATAAATAGATTTAAATTAAGAAGAAATAAATACAGATTTAAATTGTTAAGAAATAAACAGATGCAATTTGTTAAGAATTAAATAGATTGAAATTAAGAAAAATGAATATAGATTTAAATTGTTAAGAAATAAATATAAATTTAACTGCAAAATGAATTAATGTTCTCACTTGCAATCAACGCATCTTTATATATTAACATTAAATGATTCTATGGCAATGAATACTGTATAATTTCCTCAAAGATGGAGAGAAGACTCGGGGCTATAGCGATGTTGTTCTACAGAAGATTGCTTAGAAGATCATGGACAGAGAATGTAAGCAACGAGAAAGTTTGAAGGATAATCAAATGAAAAAAAGCACATACTTAGAATAAAACATTTGTAAAACACTTAATGAGGATAGAGGTCTGGGAAAATTCGACACTCACAAGACATGTTAAAAGTAAGACGGACAAAGGAAATGTAACTTAGTAACCTACTTAACGAATTTGGATGACAGAACAGGGATTAAGCGAGATGGCAATAAGAAACATTTTCCTAAGAGGTACAGAAGAGAAGTTGTGGAGATCCCTGATCTTCCAAACCCTAAAGGAATAACGCATACGAAAGAAGTGCTCAACAAAGCGGTAGACTAAATATTCTTAATATGCGCAAAAATTCAACACTAAGAGGATGCTCCAAAAATAATATACGGATATGCGGTCGAGGAGCTTGAGCTTACTTTCCAATAACCCATTTCTTTACCCAGTCATAAATAGCAACTGACAAAACGAAACTTGGCATGAAAGAGAAGAAGACTTGTGTGACTGAATTCATCCATATCAAATTACATCCATTGATATACATAAACGCTGGGTTTTACGGAGACCAAACTATGGATGTGATTACAGTTAAGCTGCCAGTAATGCGGTTCATCATTGGCGACAATTTAACAAGTTACGTTTACAAGAGTAATATGCAGACCCTTTGCTCAACGGTTTATGGTAATAATAATTGTAATATTAGCCGTTTCCTTATAAGGAAACATTTGGTATTCATTAACCGATCAGACAGTTGAAATATATAAAATCTTTCTCTTTAAACAATTGTACCGGAAAATAATTTTTTCTAGTAACTGTTATTGCTCTTTGCAGTATTAATACGGGTTCTCTTCCAAAACTTTTATTTAAAATAGTGTAATGTCAGCATCTTGATTATGTTAATATTTTCTCCTCGAGTTACATTTTGTATCCATTTTAGCTGTTACTGCCGTAGAAAGTCCGCAAATGATGTGGTTTCTGTTATTTGGTACAATTCTTTGTTTGTGATTCTGTTGTGCCGATCTAATAAGTTTCGAAAAAGTGTGGTTTTCGCAAACATCCTCAGGCCTCACTAGCTCAAAATTATTTAACCATTGATTTGAAAAAGTGGTTGCATACAGCTGACAGTTTAGTTATTTCTGAACGGGTTTGGTGCCATACATGATATCCATACATCCATATGAAAATCTAGATCTGACGAGGTTACTTAAGTACATGAATTGAATTTTCAAGTTAATGTTTTGGTTTTGTAGCCATTTGCGGTATTGGGAAAAACTACCTCTAGCGCAATCCATTCTATGTTCAATTTCCTTTTCTCCTTATACTAAATGTGTTATAATTGAGCCATACACCTAGGTATTTGAAGTGGTTAGTATTTACAAGATCCACATTCTGAATTTTTATGATGGATTCGGGTTACGCGCCATCGTGATGGTGACTATACGGTAAAACAGTGTTTTATCGCTGAAAACTTGCTTTATGTAACATTTTCACTGTCCATTCTGGTGACAAAGTATGGTTGTTAGACACAGAAAGAAAAGTGAAGTAACAAAATAACAGGAAAATGCGACTAAA